GGAAATGGCCTAAATTGAAACTTGAACTGTTCTGCCAAGTTTTATGCAGTGAACGCAGGGCTGAGAGCCCGCAAGAGCCATCCCGGAAGATCTTGTTCGCCACCAACCGAACCTTCGGTGAATGTTCACAAGGTTAGAAGCTCGCACAGGTAACACACATTGGATGCTAATAGTAATACTATGCACTCAGGAATGTGTGCAAATAGGACAGAATTAATTCCAAATAAAGTCAACAATAGCTGCCTCAACACAGTGCTATCAACCTTCCGTATTTTCCATATTTGTACGGAAAATCACTACTTCGTCCGCGCTATGGATTTTGAGAAAAATGTACGGAAAATTGAACGGGATTGATCAGTATGTATAAGCATTGCAAGTGCAAGCTGAGCGATGAAAAGAAGAGAACCGAGTGGAAAGAAAACGCTGCAGTGGAGAGTCCTTAGAAAAGACTTAAAAAATATCAATAATATCGCTGCACGAGATCATCCTTATAAATTTTAACGTAAGCTGATCGTACTGTGGTTGATTCATACGGCGGTAAATACACACCTGCCTACACACGCTCTCTAAACTGAAAAGTTATTCTGGCACAGAGCTCTCCTTCCCGCCACCACCACCATCATCAGTTCGCGTCTGGCGCCTAGTCGATGCAGGGTGAGTGGTGTCCGACATAACAGGCTGGTACATCAGGTAGCGTATGGCGCATAGCAGATGACACAGCAACAACATAGCTTGATTGCGACGTACCTTTCGTCCCGGCTGGACTCATCAGGCAATGTTCTTCTTAGATGTCTTCACAAGGAGCTTGACTCGGGAGAATGAAGTTGAAGACTCCACTGCAACTGCACTTATGGTTGGTTCATATGGTGGTAAATACACACCTGGCAATATGGGGGTAAATACACGCCTGCCCAGACACGCTCTCTAAACTGCAAAGTTATTCTGGCACAGAGCTCTCCTTCTCACCACCACCACCACCACCATCAGTTCGCGCCTGGCGCCTAGTCGATGCATGGTTAGCGGTATCCGACATAGCAGGCTGGCACATCAGGTAACGCATGGCACATAGAAGATGGCAACGACATAGCTTGATTGCGACGTACATTTCGTTCTCTCGGTTGTGCTGTAGCCTGAAAAAGGAAATAAGACAATGCATCCACATGACACAGACAAGTAATTACTGTTACAAATAATGCATACTGCTTGATAACAGAGAAAGAAAGTCAGTGGTCACAAGTTTTTGGTCGTCCCTGAAACGAAGATCGTTCCGGGGGGGGGGGGGGGGGGAGGGAGCTAAAATCTCAGTCGACTGACGCATTGCATACACATGTACATGCATGCGATTTTCGTCGTCCATTCATTTCGGAGGGTGGAGAGGAGGTCCGAGTACGAAATGAATGTTTTTTTCAGGGATGACTAATCACTTTTGCGATGACCCCTTATTGCATCAATTTATCGTCTGAACTGCGCAATTGAGTCCCACTTTTATTATGTTGGGTGCAGATTTCAAGACTCGTGAAGTTCGAGGCGAAAAGCAGGCCGATGAAGGGACGCCAGTAATTCAGCCTAGTCCGGTGTCATGGAGAGGGGCCGATGAACCGGCAACAAGAGAATTCAATACGTATACTACTCTTCAGTTCATTGCTGGGGAAGACTACTCAAGGCCACGTCACTCCGGCAATTCAATGTACAAATCAGCAGCAACACTTGCAACGTATTTCTACCAGCTGACCAGCAAGTTACCAGCCATCAGCTCTTCAAATAATTTCAACTTAACAGGAGAGGAGATGGACAGATCGGAAAGTATCGTGGCAAGCTCAGGACAACACACGTCCGGCCCTATGTAACAACAGTGGAAAGTGCGTGCCATGGTATATTTTCGAAGGCATATCAAGAACCAGTTAATGTGGACTGGGAGTCTATTTGCATCGTCCGATCAGCTGCTACAAGTGCCATGAGCCAATGCCAAACACGTTTGACAGAGACTACTACCTCTACTGAATGCAACTTTGGCATGGCAGAGATCTACAAGCACGTTATCTTATCTATCAATAGAGTTGTATCCTCGTATGACTATGTGAAGTGTGAGGTCGTACTGTACTGCAGACGCGTCCACGACCTGGTTGGAAATGTACGCAACAGTTCCCACCCTCTTGACCAGAGATCGCACACACCCTATGTTTTGATGGGTTTGTACGACTCCCAGCTCTTGACTTTTGTTGGGTGTACGAGACGCACGCACAGTTTTCTTAGGGTGAGTACTTTTTCATGTAGTACTGAATGCGGCAAGCAGGACTCGCCCATCCGCCCCTCCCCAAATGGATCTACTCGAATGGTTGCGGAGGTAGGGGTGCTCTGGCGGGATTTTACGACATACACAAGCGCGCACGCACGCACACAATATACACACGCACGCACACACACACATACACACGAACGCACGCTATGTCGCACGTCTTGGGCATGGCTTCGTGAATACAAATAATAATTTAATGTTATAATTTATAGTATCCAAATGTTAGAGCAGATTTACAAAACCTACCGTTCAATACCGGATCATCTTGTGACAGCTTCCTTGCAACACCCATGACTTGACCCCACTTCGTCTTGACGTCGGGAAATCGTTCACACCGGAGTTGGGACACGAATCATTGAAATCCAGGCCTATCTGCAGCTGGGAGCAGGACAGAGCTGATGGACGTTAGCAGCAGCTGTAGAACAACCATAAACGAGTCTTCTTTCTCCGCAGTCAGGCGGGACAGCAGCTTTGCAACGCAAGCTTCTTGCCTTCTGTGGGTCTTTAGCGGCTGGGATTCGGAACGCTCTGTAGAAACCATTGAACAAGTACTGCACTCTATCAACCCACAAGTATTTCTTCCAATTCATGATTATTCGCAACTTTTTATGCAGTACGCGCACCAGATCAGAAGCCGCTAGCGCTAAGTAGCAAGGTTGAAAGTTTGAAGACAAATTGAAAAAATAATAACATAGAAAATTAGAATTCAAACCATACCTGTGGCCCAAGCCAATACAGACTGAGCGTTCACGCGAAGTGAACGTAGATCTACGTCAGCTGAGGTTTCCTTAGGATCAGGAGGTGATTCTTGACCCGGATCTGGATCGCGATCAGCAGCACTCTCTGCCTCAATCACGATCATCAAATGCGACTAATAAATTATTTAATTACTTGGGAAAGTAGTTCATTCTTCTTCTTCTTTTGGAGCTACGATTTCCCACGATCTTATCGATCCTGCACGAGTCCGTTCCCCAAGGAGTGCACTCCCAAAGTCCCATGGCATAAGTACGCGGAGTAGTTGGTTTATAACTCAGGGCACGCACCGGGGATATCTGAGGGAAAAGTGGGAGAAAGTGCCGCGAGTCAATCAAGGCCTCGTGTCGCCTCCCGGGTCTATACGACTCCCTGGTTTTACCAGGTCCTGTAACTGCTGCCAGTACTGGTAGATTCTACATTGTAGATCTACTGCAGTAGACATCTACGCGTGGTAGTACCAGTAGTAGATCTACCAGTAGTACACATACAGTAAATATCGGATATAACGTGCCCCTTTGATTTTCGAAAATGTATCACTATATCCGGTGCATCACTATAGCCGATTTGCATGTTTGACCGACACATGGCACATGACTGCACATGAAATGATGCGTACACGCTGGAAAAAGCATGCTGAAAGTGCATGCATGCTCCGCGGACTGTGTACCGGTGCATGACACAGAGCAGTGCATGGCAGTGCAGTACGAGTACAGACTGTACATGTACATGTACTAGAACTTCGATACATCATGTGGCATGGCTGCTTCTTCAGCGTGTTCTCCAAAAAAAGCCTGAGCTGGATCCGTGCTCACGTAGATCGTAGATCTACTCGGTGTCCAACGAGTTGCGTAGAGCCAGAAATAGACATGAGTGGCTGTGTACGTGAGTTGGCAACATCATCGTGAGAGGCAACACAGCCAGAAACGGACAAGAGCATGCAGAAAGATCACTCTTGATCATTATATGCGATATTTTCCTGTACATTTGATATGGTTTGCTTCCTGAAGGCCATCACAATAAGCGATATATCGGTATAGCCGATAATAGTGTATATAGTGATATTTTAGCTGTATTTTTTCAGATTTGATTTTGATTTTGACGTGTTCTATCACTATAACCGGTATATCATTATATCCGGTCACTTTATAAACGATACTTACTGTACCTGGAAAACCTAGGCAAGGTCAGATGAGCATCAGGTATACATGGTATAAAGGCGATGAAGAGATAATAATTATTAGGCCATCCAGAATTAATTCGTTGTTTCGGGTCACCCGACCGACCGTCTTTTTTCACCCGACCGCAAAATGTTTTTTTTTATAGTGCATGCAAATGTACAGACTAGACTATGTACACACGCGACCCTAATAATAGCAGTCCAGATATCCACCTCAGAAGCAGCCATGGCTAGCCAAATGACAGGCTGCAGCGCTTGGTGACGACGTTGTCTTCTATCTCCGATCCGCAATCGGTCCTGAAACAGCATCAGCTCCGCCACCTTGTCGCTATTTACAGAAGTTCAAAGTGAGAGCTGCTCGCCGGTCAGACTCGTTTGCCAGCGAGGCCAATAGCTGGTCCTGGAGGGGACCTGGATCTGATGGGACAATGACTGCGCTGGATTGTTTCCACTACAGTCAGATTTGATCGACTGGCTAGATGGACAAAAGCTATTCGATGTACATGTGCATGGACGTAACCAAAATAAAAAATAAAATAAAATAAAAAATATACCCGACCGACCGACCCTGGTACGGATGAGTGAAGTGACCCGAAACAACGAATTAATTCTAGGTGGCCTTATCATAATTATCATGCCTAGCCTTTCAAGGCATACACTTTTCGCACATTTCTCACCTCTACAAGTACAAACCATAAAGCGCTGCAGAGAGAAGCAAAGTAAAATATATTTTTTGGAAAGACCAAAATATGCTGGGCACGCGGCCGGTCTAATGCTTTGCCTTTCTTCTTTATTCTTTAGCTTTGTGGGAACTTAGCTCTTTTGCGATATGTTCAGCTATACAGACAAGTAGCATGTTGGAATAGGCTCCGGCTTCACGTAGAGCGTGGAGACGAGTAGAACCTCTTGCACTGCTACTGAGTAGAATGTATCCAGAGAAACTAGTCAGCTTTCAACCAGCCTTCAATGGACTGCAAGCAAGTTTACGTGGAGATACCGACAGCGGTCGTTCCAAATTGGGAGTGCTTTCAAGACGGTAGCGAGCCCACCGCTATGCATTCAAAGGTAACTTGAATAATGCCCAATGTATCATCGTTGCCCATGTGAGCACTCGTGCTCCAGTGTGTGAACTATTCTAAAACAAAATATTTATTGCTCTACCAGGTCAAACGCACTACATGCCATGATGAGTGGATCTTGCAAGGACTTTATTGGTATGAACATCAGGTGTTGCAGTGCATTTGTATCTGAATATGCCTTATGGAAAACAGGAATAGACTTTTCGGCATACTAGTAGTGTTTTTGAAACTTTGTCTCCACCCAAATAAAGACTGGTGAAGGGCGAGCAACTTAGAATTTATCAGGTAGCTTTGAACGTTTTCGATGCCATCTCGTCAGAATTATTTCACTGGCAAAGCTTCTTTTTTATTATTATACGAAAGTACACTATATTCCCGAATATGTGCGAGAAGTGGTGGCGGGGCCAGGCTGCTCTGCCGACCGTAAAAGTCTCGGCGTCTACGCAAACAAAGCGCGCCATTAAACGTAATCAATGTGTAACACAGTATAAAATTTTAGTACTGAGAATGCCGCACGGTAAAGTGAAGCAAGTATATGAATGTGAACAATGAGAGCTGAGAATACCTAACCCATGGTGTGTATGTTGACAATGTGCAATGCACAACTCACTTTATTGTTATACAGGTCCTTCCTCGTTATAACAAGCCCGGTTAGCACGCAAGCCCAGTAGTCACAGAAATCTGAAGTCACCTCGCAAAGCTTGGTCTACACAACTGTTTACAAGTCCGCTTACAAGGTAATTCGTTTGTACGTAAAATACGTTATATTGACCCTTGGCCAATGTCCCTGGAGTATCAAAACCTCAGTAAAAGATTATAATGGACATAATTATTAAAACTCGGATACTGAGCCAGTAATAAATGTAAAAAAAAGAGAAAAATGAGAATGTACTCGGATGTAGAGCCAAGGATAAATTTATAGTAAAGAATAAAGGACCAAGAAGCTATAAGTTATGCTATAATGTCCACTAACACCACAAGTAACAAGTTGTTAGTTACCAAGCAATCAGCTCTTGTGATAACATTCGATGTCACTTGTCCAGCTATGATCAGCTGAGAGAAGAAACACATGAGAACGAGTTATGCAGCAACTATCCACGACTGTAACAAGATGATAAACGGTCAGAAAGTGCGATAGTAGGGCACAAAACTGACAGGCTACTGAGACATTCAGCAACTCGAGACCTAGCTCTAACACATCTCCAGTGCGCAAACCAACAGCCTTCCAACTTGGAAGGTTCATGGTTATGTAGGACTGAAGAGGGGAAGGTGAGCGCAGCGAAAATGTGCACAAGCTAAGTCCCACTGCAACAAAGAATGCCGACTGTTACAGGTCGATGATGAGACCAGTTAAGAACATGACAATTCGGTCTGACTACAATTCGAAGCAGTAAAGCAACGCACCACCCAACTTGGGTGGGTCAGCAATATTGGGGATAAAGGAAGGGGATGCTTTGCGAAAACGAATTGTACAAAACCGGACGCCAATATCTAGCGGTACTCTTCATGCATGACACTATTGTGGACGAGTTGACTACAATAACAAGTAGTTCCACACGACGTACGTTTCGCCGTGTTGTAGTGACGGCTCATCAGGTGTGCAAAATTTAAATTTGGATACTGAGCCAGTAATAAAATGTAAAAAAGTGAAGTTGGGTGGTGTGTTGCTTTGCTCCTTCGAATTGTAGTCACATCGAATTGTCATGTGATTAACTGGTCTCGTTATCGACCTGTAACTGTCGGCATTCTTTCTTGCCGAGGGACTTAGCTTGTACACATTTTCGCTGCGCTCACCTTCCCCTCTTCCGTCCTACATAACCATGAACGTTCCAAGTTGGAAGGCTGCTGGTTTGCGCACTGGAGATGTGTTAGAGCTAGGTGTCGAATTGCTGAATGTCTCAGTAGCCTGTCAGTTTTGTGCCCTATTATCGCACTTTCTGACCGTTTATCATCTTGTTACAGTCGTGGATAGTTGCTACATAACTCGTTCTCATGTGTTTCTTCTCTTTTTTATAGCATAACTTGTAATTTCTTGGTCCTTTTTTCTTTGCTATAAACACATGAGAATAATTATTATGTCCATGCAGGACTGAGGTCAAAACACACATGATAAAGCAGAAAAAGACTTCCTTATTTGTCTGTGTATTTCTAGAATATCCGATGTCTTGATCCTGGGGAATAGCCGTGTTCGACATAGTATTGTGATCTAAACATGAATTCAAGTCGAACTTAGAAGTTGCGACTTCGGCGGTAATAGTCATGAAGTTGATTGTTCCAACTAGGAACACACACTTCTTGTCGAACTTGACACTTGACTGATTTACGACTGCCGAGGGGTGAACTCCCCGAAACACTGTGTGTTGAGCAGGGGGTGATGCTTTCTTGCAGGTTTGCTGAGAGGAAGGTGCGACGTGCTCCTTGTGTGCTCCGGATGGCAGTCGTAAGTCAGTCAAGTGTCAAGTTCGGCAAGAAGCGTGTGTTCCTAGTTGGAAAAATCAACTTCATGAATTCAAGTGCCGTTAATTTTGCCCAGATATTATCTACTGACGAGGGAGGACTGTGTTTGATAACTCGGAATAACTTTGGTAGCACAGACGGGTACTTCGTATTTCTGATAAACATTTGTTGCTCTCTCTCTCTGGCCTTAAAATTAAATTTGCCATGTCCGTACGTGTAGGCATGCATGTGAGTGTGTCCATGAGTGTGTGCATGTGTATGTTTCGTGTCCGTCTGCGTGTGTGTGCAAGTGGTTCTGGGTCTGCGTGCATATCTGATATTATCTGTATGTGTGAACATGTGGGCATGTGTATTGTACATGAATGTATATTTCTTCATCTAGTTCAGCGTAATGCAATGGATAAAGATACTCTACTCACGACCATGACAGCATGTAACAGTTACATGCATAGTCACTTGTACAGCTATGATCAGCTGACATCACTTCTATACCAGTGGATAGTTCTACTTTGTGATAAGTAGGTAAGCTACACTTTGCAGCCACTTTGCAGCCTAGAGAGCGTGTGTGGGCAGGCGTATTGCCAGGTGTGTCTTTACCACCATATTTATTAACCATAAGTACAGCTGCAGTGGTGTCTTCAACTTCATTCTCCCGAGTCAAGCTCCGTATGAAGACATCCAAGAAGAAGATTGTCTAATGAGTCCAGCGGGGACGAAGCGTACGTCGCAATCGAGCTATTATTAATTTATTATTATTATTATTATTATTTGAGGGATTCCCCAAAGGCCGAAGCCTAAATCAAGGGGGTCTCCGAGAATAAATATACGTGTACAATGCGTGTACAATAAGGTGCAATTCTTAAAAGGAAGAAAATATTACGATAAAAAAAGATTAATGTGAAGAGGTTCAATAAGAAGTCTGAGTAGAAGCAAGCGAAAAGGGTACTGGTAAAGAAGGGGGGTAATCAGGAAGTGAGAAAACCTCGAGGATGG